CTCCCTTCCGTTATCTAAAATAAATAAGTAAAAATTTAAAAAATAAAACAAAAAACCAAAAACAAACCAGAAAATATCCAGTTGACTGTTGAAGGAAATGATCTCAAACTCTTAAAGCCATTCAGATCTAGTATTTCTCATAAATCCTTGTTTTGGAGGTGATAAGACAGCAGCTATAGAAGCCTTCCCCAAAGGTCAACTCCATTCTTCGTCCTTTTTCGATAGAGAGAGGTCTTAACTAATTCATGGCAAGGCTTTAGGGATCTCATACTCATAGGCAAACAAAATTTTGTGTGAGGGTAAACTTTTGTCATGAAAGGGTCCATAGCTTTTATCAGATTTTTGTATAGTGCCTTGACCTAAGAAAGTTTATGAACCATTTGTTTAGGTACTTAATTCTCTGTACTTGCTCTCTGGTGAGGCCATAAAGTGAAGTGAACAGGAGAGTGAGGATTAATTGACACAACTCACAATAAGATGTTGATATCATTGTATATATGTAACTGATAAAAATGTTTACAAAGCAGTATTTATCCTTATAAAGCATGGTGTACTTTTAACATTCTCTATTATATTTCAGTTTTAAAATGGTGGTTGGAACCCAGTAAATTGATTTCTTACTATTCTGCTTGGTGGTAACCCATAATTTGAAAAACACTGGTCTAGTGCATGATAGTTTACAAAGCCCTTTTACATATATACTCTCCGTGTTCACAGCAGTCTCATGAGGTATCCATGATCCTCCCTTTGTCCTCATAGATGAGGAGGCTCAGAAACTTGTCCAGGGTTTTACTGCCAGTACTTGTCAGAGTCAGAGTTTGGTCTTGGGTCTTAGACTTTGATCTCAGCTCCGTTGTATCTTTGGGTTCATCTGATTCAAATTACTGTTGACTCTTGAACAATGTGGGGGTCAGGGGTATCGACCTCCTGTGCAGTCAAATCCATGTATTCCATTTGACCTCCCAAAACTTAACTAATGATGGCCTGCTGTTGACTAGAAGTTACCAATGACATAACCAGTCAACACATATTTATATGTTCTTACAATAAAGTAAGCTAGAGAAAATACATTTACAGTATTCACTGAAAAAAATATCTGCACATAGGTGGACCTGTGCCATTGAAATGCGTGGTGTTCATGGGCAAAAACTAAGAGCATTTTTCTTAAGATTAGGAGCTAGGCAGGAATGTCTGCTTTTACAATTCTTATTCAACATAGTACTAGAAGTCCTAGCCACAGCAATCAGGCAAAAAGAAGAAATAAAAGGCATCCCAAATTGAAAAGAAAGAAGCAAGGCTCATTATTTTCAGATTACATGATAATATATAGAGAGAACCCTAAAGATTCCACTAAAAAATGCTAGAAATGATAAGTAAATTCAGTAAAGTAGCAGGATACAAAATAAATACCCAGAAATCAGTTACATTTTTATACACCAATAATGAACTATTAGAAAGGGAAACTAAGAAAACAATGCCATTTATAATTACATTAAAAATACCTTGGAATAAATTTAACCAAGGAGGTAGAAGACTTGTACTCAGAAAATTATAATATACTGAAGAAAGAAATTGAAGAAGACACAAATAAGTGGAAGCATATACCATGTTCATTCATATAGAGGAAACATTAACATCATTAAAATGTCCATATTGCCCTGGTCAGGTAGCTCAGTTGGTTGGAGCACTGTGTCATACAACAAAAGGTTGCAGGTTTGATCCCCAGTTGGGCCACATGTGGGAGGCAACTGATCAATGTTTCTCTTTCATCCCTCCCCCTCCTTCCCTCTCCCTTCCTGTCTCTCTGAAATCAATAAGCATATCCTCTGGTGAGGATTTTTTTTTAAAAAGTCTGTACTACCCAAAGCAATCTATAGATTCAACACAATTCCTATCAAGATACCAATGGTGAGCTCTGGCTGGTGTAACTCAGTGGGTTTAGCGTGGGCCTGTGAACCAAAGCATTGCCAGTTTGATTCCCAGTCAGGGCACATGCCTGGGTTGTGGGCCAGGTCTCCAGTAAGGGGTGCACTAGAGGCAACCACACATTGATGTATTACTTCCTTTCTCTCTCCCTCCCTTCCCCTCTCTCTAAAAATAAATAAATAAAATCCAAAAAAGAAAAAAGATACCAATGGTGTATTTTGTAGGACTAGAACAAATATTCCAAAACTTTATAGGGAACCACAAAAGACCCTGAATAGCCACAGTAATCCTGAGAAAGAAGAACAATATCGGAGGCCATAGTAATCAGAACAGCATGGTACTGGCATGAAAGCAGACATGTAGATCAATGGAATGGATTAGAGAGCCCAGAAATAAACCCACACCTTTATGGTCGATTAATTTGACAAAGGAGGTAAGAACATACAGTACAATGGCATAAAGATAGTTCATTCAGTAAATGGTTTTGGAAAATTGGACAGCTACACATAAAAAAATGAAACTAGACCACCTTCTTATACCATACACAAGAATAAATTCAAAATGGATTAAAGACTTAAATATTACACTTGAAACTGCAAGGGGGTGGGTGGGGCAGAGGAGCTCTATGGGGGGAAAATTGGGACAAGTGTAATTGAACAACAGTAAAAATAAATAAATAAATAAATAAATAAATAAATAAAATTCCTGCCTTGGCTGGTATTGGCTCAGTGGATTGAGTGCAGGCCTGAAAACCAGAGGGTTGCCAGTTTGATTCCCAGTCAGGGCACATGCCTGGGTTGCAGGCCAGTTCTCAGCAGGGGACACATGAGAGGTAACCATACATTGATATTTCTCTCCCTCTCTCTTTCCCTTCCCCTCTAAGGATAAATAAATTTTAGAAAATCTTAAAAATATATAATAAAAAATTCCTGGAAGAAAACACAGGCAGTAAAATCTCATAGTAATGTTTTTTCTCATATATTTCCTCAGGCAAGGGAAGCAAAAAGGAAAATAAACAAATAGGACTACATCAAACTAAAAAGTTTTTGCAGAGCAAAGGAAACCATCAACAACATGAATGGGAGAGCATACTTGCCAGTGATACACCTGATAAGGGGTTATACCTAAAATCTATAAAGAACTTACACAACTCAACACCGAAAAACCCCAAACAATCCAATTAAAAAGTGGGCAAGGGACCTAAATAGACACTTCCTCCAGAGAGGATTGACAGACGGCCAATAGATACATGCTGAGATGCTCAACATCACTAATCATCAGAGAAATACAAATTAAAATCACAATGTGTGGTAGCGCTTCACACCTGTCAGAATGGCCATCATCAATAAATCAACAAAAAAGTGTTGGTGAGGATGTGGAGAAAAGGGAATCCTTATTCACTGTTGGTAGGAATGCAGATTTGTGTAGCCACAATGGAAACAGTATGGAGTTTCTTCAAAAAATTAAATATGTAACTGCCTATGACCCAGCAATTTCACTTCTGGGACTATATCTGAAGAAACTCAAAACACTAATTTGAAAGAATATATGCACCTGTATGTTCACTTAAGCGTTTTTTACAGTAGCCAAAGTTTGGAAGCTGCCCGAGTGTCCATCAGCATATGTGTGGATAAAAAAAGCTTTGGTACATTTACACAATGGAATACTACTTGGAAATAAAAAGGAAGGAAATACTACCTTTTGCAACAGCATGGATGTACCTGGAGAGATTAATGCTAAGTGAAATAAATCAGTCAGAGAAAGACAAATACCATTTAATTTTACTCATATGTGGAATCTAATGAACAAACAAAATAGGAACAAAATCATAGATACAGAGAACAGCCTGACAACTGTCGGAGGGGAGGGGGATTGATGGTTTGGGTAAAAAAGGTAAAAGGAGTAAGCAAAAAAAACCTTCATAGACAGACAACAGGTGTGGTGATTACCAGAGGGAAAGGGGGGGGTGAGGGGAAGGAGGGTAAATGGGATAATTGGTGATGGAGGAGACTTGACTTTGGGTATTGAACACAATACAATATACAGATGATATATTATAGAATTGTACACCTGAAACCTATATAATTTTATTAGCCAGTGTCACCCCAATAAATTCAATAAAAATTAAAGAAAAAAACAAATCTATGGCATTCAAGGATCAACTGTGCTTTTTTTCCCTTTCTTTTCTCTCCCTGTCCCACCTTCTCTACCACAGTTGTGGGGAATAATATTAGCTCAAACTATGTAATTGCACAAATCTTAATTTTCCAGTTAACATACCTGCACTGTTCCCAATCAAGTCACTTTCATTCAGGGTCTTCTCTTAAAAGTTCTGAATTTTGCTCTCTGAGCAGTAAGTTGTTTCCTTGTTTTCTTCTCCACCCTAGACCAGGGGAACTGTGTCAGTCCACTGTGGAACTTAATACTCACGTCTCCAGGGCTCTAGCAGCAATTCTGCTTTAGTAGATCTGGGGTGGAGTTTAGACCTACTATATATGTTTTTTAAAAGCTCCACAGTTTATTGTTATAAATACTCAAAGCTGAGGATTTCTACCTTGGATACATTTAAATTGCTGGGCCTAGAAGGAAACCTAGGATTTGGGAAGTAGCTAAAGATTCCTTGGTTCCTTAGAGTTTAGGGACTTAATATAATGGGAGAGCTATCTTCTCCCTGGCTTTGTGGCTGGGTAGAGCCGTTTGGAAACATCATCATTGCCTGCCTGAGTTGTACAGAAGCTAGTGGTTTTCTTCTCCCCACTGCCTCCTTTTTGTGGAAATATTGGGAGTCATAGGGTTAGAATGTGTTCATCTAAGTATGCAACTGGATATCATAATCTTGGATTATTGTTTCATACTTTCATAAATAATAAAGTCTTTGTACAATGTTTTTGATTTGCAGATTTAAAAAAAATAGTTAAACAACTGAACTTTATGCTTCAAGTTAAATAATAGATTTGACCAGAAAAATCATACTCCAAACATTATTAGTTTTATGCTGAGCAAAACAGTTATTGATCAAATTTGAATTTCTTTAAAAAAAATTACTCCAACTCTCTTTCCCTTTCTCTTTTTAGTTCTTTTTGGAAGTGGATATCTGCTCAGACAGTAAGACTCATAAGAGGTCAGTTACAAATAATGCTCCTTCACGTTTTCAGTGTGATGAAATTTATGTTCATGTGCTAAAATACTGAACTGTAGGCTTTTACCTTAAAAGTTGCCTTCCACAAAAGAATATAGGCAGGTTCGGGGGGATGACTTGAGTGAATGAGACCAACAGGGGTAGTATTCCACCACCTTTTCTCTTTAATTCAGGACTAGAATCAGAGGAAGTGGGACAAGCTGTGGAGTACCTTCTAGAGTGTCTGGACAGCTACTCAGTGATTTTCCATACATGACCTCTCTTTTCTGGTGGTTATAGGCTTGTGTGCCTGGGAATACCATTCAGCAGAGTTGCTGGTTGGTGGACAGGCTCTTTAGCTGCTTCCATTCTTTGCAACCCTAGAGGGAAGGCTGCCTTTATGTTCTTCTTAGCTAGGAAAGAAAAGTTTGAAGTTGACCTTTTGGAGCCTTTGATTTATTAGTCAGTCCTTTCTTTTTCTTCTCCCATGGCATCAGAGAAATGCTTCTTTCTCATGAATTTTATGTTAGTAATCACCTAAGTTTGGTCAGACTATAAGGTACAATGTGGCCCTGAGTACTGTACTTATTTTTCTTGTGAAGAAGGCAGCCATTATTTTCTGTTAGCTGAAATGGACTTTTATGGATGTGTTATTCTTAAACTTGATTATGCACTGCTCTAAAATGTGAAAGAAGTAGCCTTTTTGCTGTTGCATCTTCTGGTGTTTGGAGTGGTCAGTCTGTTAGAACTCCTCCCTCCCTTGCTTCCTCCTTCTCTCCCTTTTTACTCTCCTTTCTTTCCCCGCCCCCCTCTTTTTAAATGATGTAGTTTTATTAATGGTTGTAGAAGTAAACCTCTTTGTAAAATTTGGGTACATTAAACCTAATTTTCTAAGGGAGAAATGTATAGAAAATTTAGATGTCAAGTTTGCCTGATATGTTATATTTGATTTTAGTTTTAAGCATAAGAGTTAGTTTAAATAATCTCCAACTCACTTTTTTAAAATACCGATTTAGAGAGTGAGGAAGGAAGGAGAGAAAACAAAACATTGATTTGCTCTTCTACTTATTTATGCAGCTGTTGGTTAATTCTTATATGTGCTATGACTGGGGATCGAACTCCCAACCTTGGCATATCAGGACCACATTCTAACCAACCGAGCTACCTGGCCAGAGCAACTCACTTTTAAGAAATATCAGTAGGTATTTTTTAGCATTCTTGAAAATTTGCTCTTACTACTTTATTTTTTCAGCACAATGGTTCTCAAACTTCAGTAAGACTTGGTAAAGTGTAGATTATTGGGCCCCATCCTGTAGATGCTGATACAGTTAGTTGATCTGTGGTAGGGTCCAAGAAGTTGTGCTTTTAATGGATCCCTAGGTACTAGTGCTCTGGGTCCAGGGAACCACATTTTGAGAACCACTGTTCTAGAGTTACAAATACTGTTTTATCTTTGTAAATGAATAAGCCCTGCCCTGGCTGGTGTGGCTCAGTGGATTGAGCACCAGCCTGCGAACCAAAAGGTCGCCTGTTCAATTCCTGGTCAGGGTATGTACCTGAGTTGGGAGCCAGGTCCCTAGTTAGGGGCATATGAGAAGCAACCACACATTGATGTTTCTCTCCTTCTTTCTCCATCCCTTCCCCTCTGTCTAAAATAAGTAAAGAAAATCTTAAAAAAAAAAAAAAGAATAAGCTCTGATTCGCAAATTACAATATAAAAAAATAATGGTTAATGTGTAATTTTAACATGTTTTGTGGTAATTCCTAAACATTTTTTCCTAAATCTTGATGTCAAAGAACATTGCGCTTTTATACCTCAAACTGGTTTACAGCATATGAAATTTATTAATAAATTTCTTATTATGTGTTGATATATCAAGTCTTAGAGCACCTGAAAATAAAGATCAGAAATCATTACTTCCTGAATTAAAATTGTTGGTTAGGCCACAAGCTTTTAATAGTCAGTTGCTGTGTAGTTTAAAAAAATTTTTGTAGGAATTTTGGAATGACAGAATACATTTATCAATTTTAATTTAATAGTAGATTCACTTTCTTCCTATCTGTGTCAGCACGTTAGAGCTAAAAGCAGACATTTTTGGGGTGAATTACATATTTAAGAAAAATCTCATGGGGAAAAGTAAAGTGTTTTTTTTTAAATGAAAAAATACTCATCTTGGAGTTTGCTGTAAAGTAAACCAACACACACACACATAGTATATCTTATGGTATATATATATATATATATACTTATACATATATAAATATTTCATGAATATATCTATACATAAATGTACTTACATAAAATTCATAGCTTCCCACAGTACAGTATTTGGAACCAGATGTTAGTTATGTAATTTACTGTAAACACCAAGTTTTTAATGAGCACGACTCTTCCCAAACTCTTACCACATTCTCACCAATACTAATAACTGAAGTTATAATATTAAAACGAGCAGCTTGGACCTACTGGAAAGGTTTCTAATTACCTTTTGAACATCACGAAATTGGTAAAGAGATTGGGAATGGCTTGAAGTTTCTTGGCAAGATTTCTTTGAGGAATAGGAAGTGATTTTTAATTTTTTAGGTAGAGTTACCACGATCTGGATCTTCCTTCTTTGTGAAACACAAAGGCCCTGAAACAGGATAGCCAAGGACACGAATTCTCAAACTCTACCTTGCCTCCAAATGCAAGCTGTGATGTATTAGGTATAACCTGTTGCTATCCTCAGGCATAGGTCATTATCCATAACCTGGTTTTTCATTCTTCATTCTCTCCATAGCTCTGAGAGCTTATTTTGAAGAAATAATGGATGAACCATCCCACTTGGCCAAACCTTTGGAGCTGAATGAGCACTCCCGATTCATAATTGGTTCCGTGTCTGAAGATAACTCAGAGGATGAGATCAGCAACCTGGTGAAGATGGACCTACTGGAGGAGAAGGAAGGTTCTCTGTCACCAGCTTCTGTCAGCTCGGATACACTCTCTGATGTGGGGATCTCTGGCCTGCAGGATGGCTTGGCCTTACATGTGAGGTGAGAGGGAAGTTTAATGTTTTGCTTACTTAATCTGTTGTATTTGTTTTGCTGAATTTGTTCTGAAAAGAGCAAGAATAATTTTAGGGAAGATTGTTTCACCTTTTCCTTTGTCACTGGCCTTAAAGCTTTGAGGAGTAAGTGGAAAATGATGTATTTTGTCTGGAGTACAATCTTTGAAAGTATCTTTCCCTAAATGTTCTCTCAACCTCTGTGGTCTTTATGTACTAGATCTTTTACTGAGATCTAGAGAATAAAGTTAGATTGAGGAATTTCAGTTTCTTTTCCACTTTGACTACCATCATTGTAACTGTCTTGATGATCGATAGGACTTTTGCAGGGGTGGGCAAATTTATGGTAATCTTTTTTTGAAATGCTTCCTCATGTCAAGAAGTTATATTTTATTTCTGGCAGGGCCAGTAGTCAGTAAAGAGCTGTGGTAGGAACCAAGGGGTTGTTTAAATAAGAATTTTCCTTTTTCTCCAGAAATGCAATTCTCTATATGTAATTGAGAGTGTCAGTAAATAATAACACTGCTATAGTATTCTTATTTGTTGTTATTTGACCTGTGTGATATACTAACCTTTGGTCATTTGTTTTGCATTTCTTGTATGAAAGATTCTGGATTAATGGTTCTTGATTTTCACTGTACATCAGAATCATTTGAGGAGCCTTAAGAAATGAGCCCCTGCCCTGGCTGGTGTGGCTCAGTGGATTGAGCACCCGCCTGTGAACCAAAGGGTTGATGGTTCAACTCTCTGTCAGGGCACGTGCCTGGGTTGTGGGCCAGGTCCGCAGTTGGGAGTGTGCGAAAGGCAACCACACATTGATGTTTCTCTCCCACTCTTCCTCCCCCTCCCCCTCCTTCCCCTTTCTCTAAAAATAAGTAAATAAAATCTAAAAAAAAAAAGGAAAATGAGCCCCATGACAACAGATTCTGATTCATTTGCTAATGTCTTGGCTTGAAGCTGGGGCAGTTTTTTTTAAAGCTCTCCGGGTAATTCTAATGTACAGCCAGGGTTTAGATTATAGGTCTACCTAGATAAACTTAAATTAGGGTGAGTATTGCTGTTGTTATTATCTTGGTGCTTCTGCTATTAATGGATCATAAAATAATTCAGCTCCTTTTTATATATTCAAGATACAGACTCTAAGCTAGTAAAAGCCCCTGCTGGATCTGGCTGAATGTGACTGTCCTGCCTTAAGGTTCTTCCTGGGGCTTTGAGGTCTTTGCTTCTTAAGATTTTATTTAGTCATTTCTAGAGAGAGGGAAAGGGAGGGAGATAGGAATAGAAACATCAATGTGTGGTTGCCTCTCACATGCCCCCTACTGGGGAACATGGCCCACAACCCAGGCATGTGCCCTGACTGGGAATTGAACCAGCGACCTTTCAGTTCACAGACCAGTGCTCAACCCACTAAACCACACCAGCCAGGGCCAGATAATGATATTATTATAAGACAGTTTGTAGTTGGCCTAGTTATTGCCAATTCATTGTCAGAGTTGATGGCTGTTATTACAAAGACTGTGTTGTAAGTGGTATGCACGCCTGAGAATTTGTTTGCAGGCCCTACTTTTGCAAAATCATGCTCATAGTTTGTGGAGAAGCTATGGATTGAAGTGTGGTCAGCAACCTGGGAAGGAGACAGTGCCAATTCCCACTCACTTCTCAGCTATTTAATGTTTCGAAACAGAACAAACTTTCTTCATTGATCCATTTCTTAAGTCACTTGTGAATATCGTGTCCTTGTGGATAATTTAAATTGAATCAAATTTATCTGATATTGGAGAGAACTCTTATGACACCTGCCACCAATTAGGTATGTGACCACATCAATTTCTGGTGCCTCTATGGACCCATTTTCATCATCTATAAAACTGAGTATATTGGTTCAGATACTTGTTTTCACTCTTTGAATCCAAAGTTAAGTAGAGACCAGTTTAACTTCCTGAAGAAATAGCCTAATCCTTCACAAATTATATAGATTAAAAGGACAGGTACATTCCTAAGAGATGTTAACTAGAGGTTACCTAAAACCAATGAAGTCATTGCCACAGTGTAGGATGAGAGCTGGCCCCTCAAGTTGAGGGCTTGGTTTTAGGTGCTAAATGAGAATTCTGTGGGAATGATGGATGGGCTGGAATAGAAAAGAGGTTTTTCCAAAGATGGAGGTGACTTGCATCACATATTTACTAGAGTACCAATGAAAGACTGGATGGATAATTTTCTGTGCTTTATGACCCAAACATTTGAAAAATAACAGTCCAAGAAAGTTATAGCTTGTGGGAATATACAACTATACTTTTTGTTTGTAGATAAGATTAGCTAGGGGTTGATTATATTTGCTAGGTTGATATATTTCTGAACTTCATTATTAATATTTAATTGAACATTTGAAAAGAAAGACCATTTAAGAATGAGTGTGGACACGTTAATTTTTATAACTAATGTATGATTTCGTGGCATATAATCAAGCCATTTAGTTTTGTGGATATTGACATTTTCTCTGCTCCTTGTGGGATGCCACTTGAGGTCAGATTGTTCTGCATACTTACAATGCATTCTAAACCCAGATCACCCCACGCTATCAATCAGAGATTATAATCAGTTTTGTCAACTATTATGCTGAATTCCTGGTTGAGGTCCAGTTGGAATCACATTAGTCCCACAGGTGGATATTTTACCTCTTAGGGTATATGATTTCTTTAACCCTTTTTTAAATCCTTAATTCTTATTGTAGTATTTGAAACTTTATCTCAGTTTTCTCTTAAACTTCTTAAAATGTATACTCATAATGTCAAGTGGCCAACATTTTATCCTTAGCAAGCATGTTTGGGTAATGGCTTCATTTGAAAACAATCTGTGATTGCTGTTATACATATATACATAAATATAACATAAGCTTTTCTGTCGCTGGGGTTTAAGACAAATAGTTGCTGCCTTGGAAGGAGAGAATGATTAAGTTCATTTAGAAAGAGCTCCTTGAAGGTGAGTTACATTCCTATCTCGTTTCTGGTCTACAAAGAAAAATGCTTTACTTTTTGATATATCCTAAAATTCATGGTTATAAAAAAATCATGTAAGACCTTCATCCATAGGAAATAATGGTGATGAGGTGAGATTCAGAGAGAATGCGGGAGTGGCTTTTTTAGCTTCTGCTCCCATTGGGTCAAGAAAGAAGTTAAGGGAACAAGAGTAGTGACATGATTTGATTAAAAGCTATCAAGGATAGAGCTTTTTAGTGTTAAACTGTCTGTGTTTGTGTTTGACCTGGAAAGGAACAAGGATTCTCTTTCCTTTTTAGTGTCTCACTTTAAACTCCTGATTTCGAAGTCATTTCATTTAAATCTAGTGATGGAGGTAAACTTAAATAACAACTTCAAAAGCTTTTGGAAAAGTAAAATGTGCTATACTAGTGTATGTCATTATTTATTAGGGAGGAGTCCTTTTGTGAGATAAACATTTTGGACTGGAAAAACCTCTTTAAGTCTTTTGCAAATTAGAGCTTAAAACTTGGAAGTTTAGATTTGAAAAGCTTTTGATTATAGCAAACATATTCTGTCAGTGTTACAATTCAAATGTTGACATTAGAAATATCCATGCCTGGAGAAGATTTTTAGGAGTTTATTTGAACCAAAACTGGCATCAGTTGCCAGGAAGCGATGTCTGAAATGCTTTAATGAATGACAGTTTCACAGGTTTTTTTTAAAAAAATGCATTTGAAATTAAGGAGGGAAGTAAGAAGTATTACATGAGGGTGGGAGGAAGTGTTGGTTGAGGAGGATTGGATTAAAAGATCCTTAACCAGAATATGCGCTTTCTTGAGAATGATTGCATGTATTTCAAAGGTGTATTAACCTAGATGCACAGACAGTGGACAGGGATTGCTTATGGCAAAGACGGACCTTTTATTAAAAAAGTTGTGTGCCTGGGGCATGACTACCCCACCATGACCTGCCCATTTAGGATTTATGATCAGATCACTGAGAGAGGTTATTCTCTGTAGAACCCTTTTTTGCCCCCTAGAATAACCATTACTGAGAAGACAGGAAGTTTTATTTCCCCATTCTGTCTTTTGGCTCATCTCTTTCAATTTCTAACAGGGGAAATAAATAATACAACTCACTCTAGTTTTGAGTTAATATTTTGGCTTTACTTATTGGTTGGCCTGTAAGAGTGTTCTTATGTTTTGACTTTCTCAGCATTTCTCATTTAGCCTCCTTGAGCTTTCTCCCTGCAACAGCTCCTCCAACTCTGTTCTCAAAGCTCCTTCCTTGAGGTTTCCAGTTGCTATGGTGCCTCACAAGTGAGTGGACAGAGAAGGACATTATGAGATCTGCGACTTGGTACTCATGCTGAGTGCAATAGTTTTTTCTATCTCCAACTCACTCCTTTCCATTCAGAAGACAGAAGCTGGCAGTGTATGTATTACAGTCTCCAGAGTTTATTCTGTAAATCTACCTAATTTTAGAAATGAAATTATGAATGTTGTAAGTCTGGCTCAGGACAACGTTTATTTTATGTGATGCATTCATTTCCCTCCTTTTTCTTTCTGTTAACATAAATTTACAAATGAAGTTTGCATTTACTGCTTAAATTTTTAAGAAATTATTACATGTATAAAAAAGTCGGATCCAAAATGTATAGAGACCCAAAAAGTGTAAAGAAAGAAATAAAACAATCTAGAATACAATCATTCATTGATAACTGCTGTTAATATTTTATATGCTTCCTTTTAGTGGTTTTTACCTATTAAGGATAAATTTCATTAAAGAATATACACATAGATGATGTTATAGTGAATATAAAACTCTGTTTTTTGCTTTTTTCACATAATATTTTCTCATGCCATTAAAAATATTTTATAAATTTAATTTTTTAATTTAGTTTTTATTTTGAAATAATTTTAGAAGAATTGACAAAGATGCCACAAAGAGGTCCTGTGTATCCTTCACTCAGCTTTCCCTAATATTAACATTTTTCCCTAATCATGGTACA